TACTTGGCTAGAACCACAGAGCAGCCAAGTGAGGGTTGGGAGACCGATGCCGAAACTTGAAAGTGAGAAAGAGTACGAGGCTTAGGGGCATTTGCTTCTGAGATCCCAAGCAGTAGGAAGGCAGTGGAGGCAGGAAGATCACCTCAAGTTCAAAGGCTAGCCTGGGCTACACAGCAAGACCCTGTCTTAAGAACAAACAGACAAAAAAAACCTCAAACAAAAACATAATTGTGAAGGGGTGGCATAGCATACAGGCATCTTGTCAGGTTGTCTATCCTTGAAGATGTAGGAGGGCTAGAGGCAAGGGAAAGTTTGGTTGGGTGGAGTGTGTTCTGGAGTTGATGAACCCATTGTTTCTTGCACCCCCAGTCATATTATGTAGTTAACTTGCAGTGGAGGTCAGGGCCCAAGGTCACTAGATCAGCAGCATTCTGTGCCTGATTCCTCTCCTACAAGCTATCCTTCCCAAGGTCAAAGTTAGTCTCTCCCCAGCACAACTACCCCCATGGCCATTCCCCTTCCCCGTCTCTCTCCTCTCCCCCAACAGCAGAGATGTTCCCAGCTGAAACAACAAAAGTCACCTGAGCCTCCTCCGGTCCAGCATTCCTGAAGAGGCTGCCAGCAATGAGTCAGCACATGGGCAGCTCTGTGCGCCAAGAACCAGCCTGGCCCGGGTGGAGGATGTCTATGGGCCAGAGCTGGGGTGAGGACGGAGGAGACAACCAGGAGGAAGTCTCTGTGCCCCGGCTCCAGAGATCAGCCCTGTGGGGTCTGTGGGGTCTATGATTCAGACAGTACAAATAAGGTACTTGATGTTACACACATTGCGGCCCACAGGAAGCTCAGCTTGGGGCTCCTGAGGACTGTGGTGCCATCTCTCCCTGCTCCGCTGAGGATAAGAGGCAGGGCTTATGCCTAAGCAGGCATCGAAGATCTAGTCTCATCTTCATGGGGGCCCCCTGGTTCCAGCTTTTACAGTATGTGGGCCACAGGCAGATTCTGAGACTATTCCTACAGCTTTCTGGGGTGGACTGTGCCTGCCCAAGCTAGTGCTTGTGTGAACAGAGGCAGAGAACGCTATAGAGACTCAGTGTGAACCCTGAAGCCTCAACTAAGCCCACTAGGAGCTCAGGCCAGATGAGGGATGAAACGATTAGACACATTTCGTCATGAGTGCGGCAGGGCAGGACTGTGGGTGAGGGCTTTCTGCAGCTGAGGCTCTGCCTGCATCAGCTGAGGCAACAAGTCTACTCGAAGGAAGATGCAGATGGATCTCCATGACAACCTCTTCCCATTTTGATTAGTTCTAGGGGCACATCTGCATATCAGGCTGTGGTCAAGAAGGCTGTGATGATCTTATAGAGTGCCTGTCATTCTTGTTCTGTCTCTTATTTCTTTCCCTGAGTTCTAAATTCATGACCTCTGTCTTAATTTCTGAGAAAAGAATAGGAAACTTATCTCCCTTTTATTTTTTATTTTTTGGTGAGAACCAGAAACTCTCCAGCTGGCTTTGTCTGAGAGTCTATAGAGAGGACTCAGAACTCAATGAACTTAAACAAATGAATTGATTTAATTTTAAAAATTGTTCATGCATATGAAATTATACATATGTGCATACATGTCTAACATCTGAGTATGAGGACCTGTGAGGTGCATTTGTATGTGCACCTCATACATTTGTATGTGTACCTCATACATTTGTATGTGCATCATACATACATGAACATATGTATGATGATCAGGAGAGTGACGGGCTGCAAGGCAGGGGCCAGCACAGTCATTTCTACAGGAAGAGGTGTGATGGTGGGAATGTTGTTTGTATGTGTGAGTATCATGCATCCAATGTGCCAATCATTGAGCTGGGAACTCAATGATTTTTATTCAAAAATAAGTAAGCCATGGTTCCTGACTCCAGGCGTTTATCATTTAGTGAGAGGCAGAGAAGGCAATGGAGTCATCTAGAGTGAAATGGTTTGGATAGGATGCACCCTCCCACAGTGCACATGCTGAAATCTTGGCCTACGCTGGTAGATCGGGCCATTGAGAGGTGACTGGATCATGGGGGTTCTGACTTCACCAATTAGTCCATTGAGGGGATCAGAACTTTAGAGTGTTGTTGGAAAGTGATGAGAATAAGAGAGTGGAGTCTGGTTGGAGGAAATGGTTACCAGGGGCGTCCTTTTTCAGGATGTATCTGGTCCCGAGACCCTTTTGCTCTTTTCTCACTACTTCCTGTTGCTATTGGGCAACTAGCTCTGCCCCACCTCCTGCCAAGATGCTCAGCCTCATTACAGGCCCCGGCACAATGGACATGCACTGCAACCTCTCCGCAAGTGAGCAACAAAAAACCCTGCCTTCTTTAAGCTGTGTTTCTCAGCCATTTGTTATGACAACGTAGAACTGATCGCTGTAAGAGCCGACGGAGTAGAACACATGGGTGGGTACCCAAGCCAGACAACCTCTGGGCAGGTCACCCACTAAGCTGAGGCTTGGAGGATAAAGGAATTCCTCAGGTGAACGTGATGGGAAATAGCCGGACACAGTGGCACACTCCTGTACCTCCAGCACCGGGGAAGTAGAGGCAAGAGGGATAGGAGGCTGAGACCAGTCCTGGCTATGTAAGACTCTGTCTCCAAAACCAACCAAACAAACTGAAGGGACGATTAGAGGACAGGGAAGAGGTCTTTCTCCCAGGCCATGTATTTCAGCAAATGGGTGTAGAGTTTCTCACAAAGGGATGGAGAACATAGTGAATCATTGTTTCCCTCTTAGGGGACCATTGTGGCATCAGCGTGGGGGAGATGGAGGTGGATGCACAGCAGGATCCTGCTGTGTTCCTGTGCATGTTTATGAGGCTATCATAACCTGTTTGTGTTTACAAGTCTGTCTGTCTGTCTGTGCATCTGGAGCCCGTGTACCAGGTGTGCTGACCATATGGACTTGTTTTCCACTTGGCAGCCCAGGGGACTCTGACCATGGCCGTCCTGTTGCTGACTCATGTGTGAGTGGCATTGCAGGGGAACTGGTCAGCAGGTGCTTCCTCCAGGGCTGCAGGCACACGTTTGCCCGTTAGGTTGGTTGAGAGTTGTGAGTTGACTGGCAGGCAGTGAGAGAATTCTCTTTGCCTCCAGCCAGCTCTCTTGGGCTGTACTGCGGAGCTGCAGAGTACATGGCTTGTTGGGATGCGGCTGGCACAGCCCACCAATGCCTGTTGCAGGCTTAGGTATCGGCGGGGCGGGGCGGGGGGGCTAGACAGACAGTATGAGAAGCTGAGATTTCTCTCTGGGTCTTCCCTTCTCTGGGCATCCAGTCCCCAGGCCCTGAAATAATGTTTGACCTCATTGTTCTAATAGTGTGCTCTAACTGCATTGTACCACTCCTTGACATTTACAACAGATCAATGCAAATAATTGATCGTATTCCTATTACTCTCTAATGTGGACCAAAAGAACAGAGGCACTTGGCTGTGTGGTTTTAAACCTGGAGCAGTATGGTAAGTGGTTACGAATGTGGAATTTAGAGTCCAGAAAGCTGAACTCAACTTTCATTTGAACACTGTCTGGGTAGACAAGTTACTTATTCTCTCTGTGGCTTGGTTTCTTCATCCAGAAGATACAGACACTAGTAACTCATAGGATTAAATGGGGGCAGTTCCCAGAACAGCGCCTAGTGTGTCACAGATGTAGCTGGGATATGTTCTCTCGAGTATACCCCTAGCTGTCTTCATTGTTCTCACTTCTGGAGTGTGAATGCCAGCCAACTTTACTCAACAATAAGATGGTTCCATACCAGTTCATTCTTTTCATCTGACATGCACTGCTGGTTTAACGGGCGTGGCTCACAAGCTTCATCTGTTAAGTAACAAGATACGTGGAGCCATCAAGGATCCCCCCGGGCCTTACAGAAACCTATGGACTCTTCTCACTGAGAACTCCCGGGCCAGATAAGAACATTGCTGAGAAGCCTCCGTCCTGTTCCAGCTTCAGATACAGGCACCCCCAAAACAAGAAGCAACTTCCTTCAGGGTTTCTAAGACTCTTGAACAGGTGACCAAAGGACATAGTGTCCAAGATGCTTTATACTTACTCTGGAAATGCTCTGTGTCTCCGGTTGCCGGTACTTTTCAACCCTGTAACTTCCAGCCAAGCTTAGGAAAGGACTTGTCATGGCTCTCTGATGGGCGCACCTTGTGTTTGGAAAGGCTATGAGCAAGATATTATGGCTAGAGAAAGCCATTCTTATGAACATTGATGTTTTGATCTGACAAGTCATGGAGTAATATTTTCTGTGTATAAGCTCTCCCCCCCCTCTCTCAGCATGTACATGTATGTGATTGTATATGCACGCATGTGTGGCATATGCACATGGTGCCAGTGTGCCTAGGAGCAGAGGAGGACACCGAGTATCACTAGTGGTTTATCTTATGGAAACAGGAGCTAGTCTGGAGGCCAGAAACCCCCAGTGATCCTCCTGTGTCAGCCACACTGGAGTTGCACGCATGTGCAGTCGGCTTTTGATGTGAGTGTGGAATCCAAACTCAGTCTTCATGCTTGGGCAGTAAGTGCCATTTACCTTGGAAATGGAAGCTTCCAGTCTCCCAGTCCCAGCCCTTGAAATCTTTACAATGCTTTCCTGATGTAGTTATTGCAACCTCAGAACAGATAATAAAACCATAGTCAGACACCGTTTTTTCAAGTTCAGGTAACTAATAACTGTCAGTAGTCTAAAGAATTTCTTATAAATATGAAACCGTACAGTTTCTACCTACCTCTGAATAGTAATGATTTCCATTTGGTGCTTATGCACACCAAAGCTCAGCCAAGTGGAGAGATATGTTCAAGGTCACAGAGCTAAGAATCGGCCAAGTGGAAGCCGACTCCAAGTCTAGCATTGTTTCTTAAACAGGTTCTGGCGGCAAGCCAGCTATGAGATGAGATTTCCACCCCGGCTTTTGGCACGTGTTATTACCCAGCGACTTTGTTAGGTGGGTGACAGTGTACCTTGGATATCATCGTTGAACATGCAGTACTTGTTGCGGTATTTGTTGAGCAGACGGAAGGCATTGGCGTTGGCGAAGTCTTCAAACTGGATGAGGCAATTGATTCCGAACCTGTAGGGCGGGGAAAGACAGAGGAAAGAATGTGTGATTACCTCCTGGAGCGGATCCCATCGGAACTGAATACAGGGGAGGCTCAGGACAAGAGCTGAGGGCAATGTGGGTCCTTCCTCCTATTTTTTTTTTTTTTTTTGTCACCGTACTGGATCAGCAACTCCCAGAAGTAGACTTTTGCCTACTCCATGATGTATGTAAATGGAGAGTGTAGGGCCAAGGGCATCACAGTCTACCCATTCAACCTCACTGTATCTAATGGGCTCCCCCCAAACCACCATGCCCACCGTAGGAGCATCACCAAGGCGGAGACAGGTCCTGCCTTCCGTGCAACCTGTGGATCCATGATCCCAGCAGAAAGCTCACTCCAAACGCAACAGTGACTAAATCACTCGGGGTCTGGAAGCTTCCAAGGCCCGCTGTCACCCTCCCCAGACCCAGAGGCTTGGAATCATTCCACTCCTCCACATGCATGTGTTATTCTCCAACAAGACACAGTCAAGGCTGAGAAAGGCCACGCCATGGAGCCACTGTTATCCTGGTAAAGATGTTCCCCACCTTCCCGGATTAGAAGAACAGTTAGTAAACTCAATGAAAATGTGGATCACTAGGCCCGTCTCACAGATGACTTCAATCAGGGTCCGTGGGACGAGGCTCAGGAATCTGCATCCTCAGCTAGCTCCCTAGACGGCTGTGATTACAGAAGCCTAGAAATCTAAGAAACACAGCCTTGGTGGATGAAGGCAAAGCCCAGAAGGCTGTTTGACATGACTCACTGGAAATCTATGCTTGTTAGACTTCATGGTCTTGATGATAATAATATTGGCTCTGTCAGTATTTCATAATCTCCTTTTCTTTTTAATATGTGCTACCTTCTGGGAAGCCGAGAGAGAAGCTACTTACTGTTTGTAGAAAGACTCTTCAGCCTAAGACCTTTCTTTGCACGTAAGCTTAGTCTACTGTTTCCCTTTGAGTCTGGTATATGGTGGCTGCGTCTCCTAGACTTTCTTTACAGGAAGAAACAATAGTCAGCATCCCATGAGTTAATTTGTGATTTCAGGAACAGGTCATGTGCCTTCAGAAGAGGGTCCTGATTGGGCCACGCTGGGTGCATGACAGGCAGAAGGGACCTGTTCTTGCCAAAGCAATGTGGACCACTGTGGGAAGATTTATTACCTTCTAGAAAGGGTGTGTGGGACCTATTTGGTGGCAACTTTCTGATGAGGTCCCTGCCTATGAGGGAGTGAGCAGCAGTGATATGACCCAGAAAACACAGTTCAACCTCCACTTTTTGAGCATGGCTTCCTCTGTTGAATAGAGATGCTGGTGACTGCGTAGACCTGTATATCTGCCATGTGTCTCTGGAGCCTCAGGAATGCTGGTGGGGCACTAGGAGGTCAGTTCATATCACTGAGTCCTTAGTAGAGCACCACCACTGTGGCATGCTGGTGCTAAAGAGCACCAGGCCCGAGGCATGGATTCTCATGGGCCTGGCCTACAGAAGTCATACAGGAGAGGTTAAGGGATTAGGATTCAAAACTCTCAGCTCATGATGGAGAGAAATAACAGATACAATAGATGAAAAGGAGGGTGAACGTGGAAGAAGTCAGAGACTTGAAGGGGTCAGTGTGTAAACTGTCTGACAGGGGCTGTTCCTGGGCCAGGGAACATCCTTGGGGATGCATGTCCAAAGAAGGGCAGGCTTGAGAAGGTTCAGAAGTGCTAGGAACTGTTGGGTTATTAGGGCCATGTGGCTTTATATTCTATTCCAAGTAGGAATTAGATTAATCTGAATTGTGGAGGTTTTGTTCATGGGACCAAGGGGAATTTCTCATGTAAAATTAAACAAAACACGAAACAGAAACACACTGAACAAAAAAAAGATATTTATAATTTTTGCCTTATTGTTTCCTTAGCAAATGAGTGGCAGTATTGCTTCAAGGTCAAGTGTGTGAGTATATGTGTGTGTGTGTGTGTGTGTGTATGTATGTGTGTATGTGTATATATATATATATATATCAGTATGTGATGGAAAAATACACACCCATCACTTGTTTTGTTGTCTAAGCTTTTCAGAATTTTTGCCCCAGGCTAGTTGTGAAACAACACTGGAAGTCTTATGTATACCAAAATGTCAAGACATTCTGTTCCCTACTCCCAGTCCAAACAGTTGCAATTCATAACCTGAACAAAAAAATTCACAGTAAATTTGGGCTTGACAGGCATGACATTATATTTATGAGTGGGTGGTTTTATTCATTATTTCTATTCATAGTCCAATTGTCCTTCAGTATCCAAGGGAGATTTGTTGTGGAACTCCTCATGGGTACCAAAACTGTGGATAGTCAAGTCCTTTATGTAATATAATCTACATACATTGCCCTGTATAATTATTTGTTGTATATTATTTATCATACCTTATATATTGTAAATTCTGCATGTAAAATGCTTTATGCTATTTAGTCTAATAACAGAAAAGCATATATATATAATATATATATATTATATATATATATTGGATCTTCTTAAACATTTTCAGCAGGGGATTGGTTGAATCCATGAGTGTAGAATCTACAGCTATGAAGGGCTAACATATTATTAGGCACCCGTGTGTGGGGTGTGTACAGCAATGCTTGTTAAAGACTATTAAACCATGGACTGCACTGTTGAAAGAAATTATGGAACTACTCTCTAAGAGGTAGAAAAATATGGTGATCTATATGTAACTATACACAGAGATAGCAGCATGAAATGCTGATCGTCATACCTCATAACACAAGGGAGCTCGAAGAGAAACATTCCACAGCCCTCTCTCCTGCCGTCCCATCGAGCTACAAACCAGTAAGTCTTCTGAGGGTCACGCTGAAGCTCAAGGCCGATGCTGCGTATTTTCCGTCATCCAACCCAGTCCCTTACACCTGTCTTCTCCCCTCTTCTTGAGCCCTCTGGAGCTAGAACTGTGATTGAAAAAGTCCCACTACTCTGACTGCTTCCTCGTCTGACCTGGTTGAAGTTTAGCTTTTCCTCTGAGGCCACTACTTCCCCTACCGCCTTCTGTGTTGTTTCTCACACCTGGGAGTCTGTGACAGCTCCATTTTAAACCAGTTGTGACTCTCTCAAAAACTTACAGGGAAGGAAAAGCAGTCTGAGCGATGGGTTGAGAGGCTCAGAGCCCCTAACCATCTCATCAGTGCTTCACACTCCGTGAGTGTGGATAAGAACTGCAGCCAGAGGGCTGGGCGGTGGTGGCACACACCTTTAACCCCAGCACTCGGGAGGCAGAGACAGGAGGCTCTATGTGAGTTTGAGGCCAGTCTGGTCTACAAAACAAGTTGTAGGATAGCCAGGGCTTGTTACGCAGAGAAACCTTGTCTTTAAAAAAAAATTGCATCTGAATGAGACTAGGACTTAGCACTTTGCAGTCTAAGCGATACCTGCTGGCTGCAGCTGATAGTGCCATATTTGCTACATAAAAACTTCGATTTGTGTAATTAAAATTTGCTAAGAGACTAAACCTCAAGCTTTTAGACCATACAACACAAAGATGACGACATATGACAGTAAACATGTCAGCCAGCCTAGTCACTTGTTTCACAATATGCATAAATTTCAAGCCATAAAGGTTATATAGTTTAATACAGAGAGCTTTTGTTTATCAGTTACACCTCCATAATACTGAAGAAGAAAGTCACCTTCATCACTTAGTCCTTACAAGAGCCCACATAAGTTGGCAAAAGAGATCTCATTGTGCCTGTGGAACAACCGGGAAGCTACAGCGGGGCCAAGGCAAAGTAAGAATGGCCAAGATCATAAACACTGACGACAACTTATGCTGGAGAGGTTGTGGGGGAAAGGGAACACTTCTGCATTGCTGGTGGGAGTGCAAACTGGTACAGCTGCTTTGGATATCAGTATGGCGATTTCTCATAAAATTGGGAAACAACCTGCCTCAAGTCCCAGCAATACCACTTTTGGGTATATACCAAAAGGATGCTCAATTGTGCCAAAAGGACATGTGCTCAACTATGTTCATAGTAGCATTGTTTGTCATAGCCAGAACCTGGAAACAACCTAAATGCCCCTTTAACCAAGAATGGATAAGAAAAATGTGTACATTTACATAATGGAGTACTACACAACAGGGGGAAAAATAATGACATCTTGAAATTTGTGGGAAAATGGATGGATCTAGAAATCAACATACTGAGTGAGGTAACCCATACCCAGAAAGACAATTATCACATGTACTCACACATAAGTGGCTTTCAGACATAAAACAAAGAAAATCCAGCCTACAATTCACAATCCCAGAGAACATAGATAACAAAGAGGACCCTAAGAGAGACATATGGATCTAGTCTACATGGGAAGTAAAAAAAGACAAGATCTCCTGAGTAAATTGGGAGCATGGGGACCATGGTAGAGGGTAGAAAGGGAGGGGAGAGGAAGGGAGGAGAGTGGAGAAAAATATATAGCTGAATAAAAATAATTAAAAAAATCAAATGCTAATTATCAGTTAAGTACTTGTAAAATCCCAAGAACAATGGTAGCGAAGCAGTTGCCGTTTACAGGGTGCCAGCGGCTGGGCAGCTCATTGAGTTTAGAATTGCACTGTCTTGCCTTCACCACCGCTTCCAGAGGAGGAATCCTGAGCCGCTTCAATCCAGCTGTATTTAGTGCTAAAGCAACCCATATTTACAAAAGATAAAACTCAACAGGTTGGGGAGCTTGACTTCTTTCTCAGTTAGAATGAAACACGGTGCAGAAAACACTAGTCAGGGAGCTAGAAAAAGAATTTTCTTCTGTTGTCTCTGACCAACACGCACGCATCGTCTTTCTCTCTGGCTCACAGTCCCCTGATCAGAGGCCATTAGAACTGGGCACAGGTTACTTCACGCTTGAGGCTGGATTTGACATCTGGACATTTCCCTCAGACATTTCTTTAAAATGCGGTGGGGGAGGCAGGAGACAGGGGTCCTTCCTACGTAGTTCCTAGTAGG